CTATACAGCAGAAAATACATAATTTACTTCTTCTCTAATCTATATTTAATTATATTATATTTCTGATTAATTTGATCAAATGGATTAACTGATCTATACTATAGATGGAAATTTTTCCGGGAGGACATTGATCCAAAGAGACAAAGACCGCCTCTTCCCTCAAAATAGACGTCAAAACCAGACGCCATCCATTGACCGTCGCCGCAAACTAGCGGCCTCGGGTCGGTGACAAAGCTGGTGTTGTAGCTTTGTCACCGACCCGAGGCCGCTAGTTTGCGGTGACGGTCAATGGATGGCGTCTGGTTTTAACGGGAGAGGTGGCCTTTGTCTCCTTTGATCTATACTAGTCCGGGCATTAATTTTCTCAGTGGCTATTTCCAAGTCTTGGACTATAACATCATTGTTAGAAAATAAAATCGATGCGTTCGAGATGTATTGTTGGTGAAGTATACCTTGGACATCGATACTATCACAACTATCGATTTCGAAAGATGTCCGACTTCTGCGGCATGTACAACATAATTGTTTGAGATTCTTCGGTCATATCACGCGACGCAGGGGAATGGAGTACACCATACTGATCGGAAAGACATTTGGGCGACGCATAACTGGACGTCCTCCGACACTCTTCGTGGACCAATTAAAGGAACTCACTGGCTTAACGGTCGCCGAGATGGTACATCGAGCTCAAGACAGAGATGGGTGGCGCCGCATCGTGTTTGAGATGTAATAAATACAGTGGACCACAACGTTCGATCGCGAATAAAATATTACTATAAAAGTACATATTTCTTGTAAGATATAGTCGATGTTTTTTATTAAGCCTGTTGAAGATCGATTATCACTTAAAAGATAGCATTTTAAAATAAAATGAAACTCATTGTGAAAAAATAATTTTGAATATATAGAGCATAGCGATTTTAAGTTTTTCATTCTGTATTATAGAGTTGCTGAGTTGCTTGATATACTTTAGTCTCCAATGGTAATTTTTAAAGGTGTAAGAACAAATCAATTTGTCATATCTTTATCACTTGTTTTGTATGGTTTCATGTACAAAGTAATTTTAAATCATAAAATTATCATTTCACACTTCCATTATTCTTAAGCATTCGGTAACATGTGAAAAGAGTTAATTAGCTTGTAGATAGCATATCTGTATAGATTATGAAAAAGGCATCTCCTGATCGTTCAACAAAAAGTTACTGATGGCTTGCGCCATCTGTCAGAATAAAAATCAACTATTCGTTGATTTTTTTTTATTATTATTCCTGAATTGACCAAGCACCCATTCTTGATTAATCAAGAATGGGTAATTGGACAATTCTGGAATATTTAAAATTCAACAATTAGTTGATATCTATTCCGACAGATGGTGCAAGTCATCAGCAACTTTTATTAACACGATCAGGAAATGTATTTTTCTTGATTTATTCACCTGATCCCAGTACAATTTTACTTTTGTACTATATTTTCGCAATATCACTATAGAGCCAAATAAATTTTGAGCCGTCAAACGAATCGTCTGTTATATTTTTTAAACAGAAAAGAAAAAAAAATTCCAAATGTAATTTTAAACAGAATTCTCTCATCTATAAGCTGAAGAGATTACAAACTCCATTTGAAGTAAAAATTGATTTGGTAATTTTTCACTCGAAAAAAAAAAAGAGGGAGAAATTTAATATTTGTAATTTAAAATATTCGGATAAACTATTTTTTCCTCATTTTTTAATATTTACTTTCGAAGAAAAGTAAGCAATTTCTTAATTAGAAAATTTTATTTTCAAAATAGTGGATATATTGATTAAAATAACTCTTTTTGGCAAATGCATATGATCTGATTGAGATATTTGTTACATTTTCTTAATAAAAAATGATAATTAAAGTTTTCGGAATCGATTTTATTTCATTTTAGATTCATCAAAGTATCTGGTTACACTTTCATGATTGCGTATTGATGGCGTTTTTATAACAAACTATATTTATATCTGAAAATTATGTAGGATCTAGGGTCATACGAACGGCAAGACATTTCAAAAAATGTGAACCTAAAATGATGTCTATATAATAAAATTTGGAACGGTTGAGGACTCTAGCTGTCACTGTGGCAAGGAAACCCAGGACTCGAGACACCTACTGCTGAAATGCCTACTTTTCTTTAGCGCTAGACAACAGACAGTAAATAATGTAGACATCAACTTTCGATTACCATAACTATATTGTAAGATTTTAAACTCAAAAGGAGCTTCTTCTATATAACATGTTTATTTTGATAGCTTTCGAACGACATCGTTCTTCAACGGGCGTAAAAACAAAGTTGTCTGTACGCCCGTTTAAGAACGATGTCGTTCGAAAGCTAGCGAAATAAACATGTTCTATAGAAGAAGCTCCTTTTGAGGTTATAATCTTCAATGTAGACAATAAATAATGTTGTAGATCTATATGAATTTGTAAATACTAGAAATAAATATCACAGATTTAACCTTTTTTGTAAATATATTTATGATTATCTTTCTAATCTGAGAGGATCAGGTTCCTAATATATTTAAGCAATTTATTTAAGGCAAGTACAAACTATGAGTGATAAACAAAAGATAGCAATGAAGGAATTTTACAGAGTAGAGTAAAATATAAACATAAAAATTGATACTCTTTCAATAAAAAATAATAAAATTAATAAATACTTTGCTACAAATTACAAAAAGGTATAAGACGCCGCAAATATTTTTTATCAATTACATTAATTTTACATATTTTTTTAATGTTTCAGTTTGCTGAGGAAGAGATTGCCCGAAAGCTACTTTATATAATTAATAAAAAAGAGTAGCGGCGTCTTATACCTTTTTGTAATTTGTCGAAATCCACAAACCTGTGATAATGAACATATGATATGTCGTGAAGATAGAGATTACTTGGCCGGTATTCATAGTTCTTAAAATTAAAGATACTTTAATTTTATTTGCTCATAACGAGGACAAAATATTTTTGCCGAAACGTCGAGATAATAAAAAGAATTACTGGCCGATGTATCGTTAATTTTAAGAACATACGATCTTTTATTTGATATATAGAACTTTTAATATATAATTTAATAAAATCCATAAAGAATCCAGGGCTAAGTGTCTTGTATAATTTTATTTTTCAAGACTCTCATCAGCCCTTCGACGGGAGTAGCACACTAACTACCTATACGCCAATGTGTAAGATATGCACGCTAGGTAGACATTCTTTATAATTTATCACTCCACAGTTCAAAGAACACTAACATATAGAAAATGAAATTTTAACTACAGTTCAAATATAAACAGGGCAGTTGATTTTGCTTAGAATTTTCAATGAAACTAAATCCAAGAATATTAATCAAACATTATATTTGTTGATTTACAAGAGAGAGAGAGAACAAAATAGAAAATAGAAACTAATAAAAAAACGAGGGAACTTTTTTTTTTCTTATGGTCAGCGCCTATTAACTTTTGATCTTACACACATAACTCTGTGGAAACAATTAATTAATTAATATATATACAACAAGGGCTCAACAAGTTTGAACTCATTCCCACAACGGCGCATGGGTTGGAGCGTATTGCAAGACTTTCCTATTGCCCTTTGTACTTGCTAATTGCTCATTAACCAAAATAGTACATCGATATCTCAAAAAAACATAGCTTCATATCAATCTTTGTCGAAATAGTAAAATATAATATATGATTTATATGATTTTGCCACTCATTTTCACACACACACACAGACAGCTTTATTGAGACCATCTCGGTCTTATACAGATTTATCAAAGGAAGGAAGCCTAGATGGAGCTCCTATACTCCAGGCAGCACAGAACCCAACAGCCTCCAGGTCCGACGCATGTCCAGTGGCCACAGAATCCACCGTGCATAGGTTAACGTATCACTGAAAAGGCGAGTGTGGAATCAGCCGCGTTTAGTCTTCGCTTTCCTCATCCAAATGGACCACGACATTCGATGATTCTATTAATCTTCTCATTTTCTGTCATTTACATTATCTGAAAATAAGATTATTTTTAAATAATAAAAGAAACACGACGTCTATTTTGAAGAGAAAAAAGTCTATCCTAATTATATACCGACCCAATTCATACTATGAATATTACTCAATTCTTAATCCCTGTTGTTCTATCGGAGTTACTTTAAGGTAAATGTAAACGTAAAAAACTTAAGAAGTATGATTACAAAATTTTCTAGATATCTCTCAGACTGAAAAGTGACTTTAAAATCTTTTTGGTTAAAAAAGGCAGACGATATAGTTGATCTTGGGATTTGACCTATAGAATTAAGGTTTGAAAGTCGATGATAAATGATTCACGCTTGAATGAACTTGCATGCCAATGAGGAAGGATTTTGAAGGAAGGAGTAAATCCTTTTGTGACGGGAGCTCAATCAATTCTTCAGACCTGTTCGACCATCCTGAGATTTAGCAATCGTTTGGTGTCCCAGCAATAGACCTTTTATTTCTGTATAAATTGATTATTTTCTATTCAGTGAATATTTCATGTCAAACACTTTCAAACGAATGTTAAGATTATCAGTGAAATAAATTTTATTGCCATCTATCGATAAAATTGATGAAAAATAAATATAGTAAGGTCTGTAGAGATAATATTTGATGATATTATTGAAAAGAAACACATTGCCAGTAAATTTATTTGTTACAAAAGTTTATCAGTGTCACAGCAGCTTTTTCGTTTGTTTTCGAAAGGATGAAATTAAACAGACAAAATTGATAATGATGCTTGTGACATTATATGATTGATAATGAAAAGGCATCTTTTGAGCGTTCAATTTGATGTTGCAGATGGTATACTGTGTAAATCTATCAAGAAAATATTCAACTATAATGTGTAGGCCGAGTTTTTAATTATATAATACACAATTTAATTTAAAAGATCAACAGATAGCTTTTTTTTTTTTTTACAGAACGAAAAATCGTAATTTTAATTATTTAAGGATAAATAACGACTATATATATCCTTAGGGATGAAGTATGAGCTTAGTGGACATGGCATCTGCCTGGTAAGCGGAACACTGTGGGTTCGATTCCCATCCCTGAACCCTTTTATTTTTCAGTTCATCATTAATCTTCACAATTCATCCTTTCATTCTTCATCCCTAAGGATAGGAATGATCGTTATTTCTCTCTTTTTCGTTCTGTAAAAAGAAACATTTGCGGTAAAACTTTTTTAAACGTCGTTCTATAAGCATAGCCGCATTATATTGTATTATGTTTTCCAATAAGTGGCAATAAACCGTCAACAATTTTCAGTTTTGCTATAAAGAAATGCCCTTCCAATACATATACTATAGAGCAATAACATCCCGTCTATATATAAGAAAAAAAAACCTTTAAGCATTCAAGTATATTTTAAACATAAAACATACTTCTACTGTCCTTACTGCGACTAAAAAATATATTATGTGGGCCTGGCTCATCAATGGTGAACTATCCCAGCTTTTTCGCCAATTTAATCGACCATATAGCTTTTTAGAGCTCTAATACTGTATTGGATCATTCTGCTAATATATTCTACACTGGAGAGTGGAATCTTAGAAATAGTATTCAACTAAACTATGGACATAAACCTTTAGGACAGTAGAATTACATATAATAAACTTGCGTGCTTAAATGTTTTTCTTGCTTTTATATTATACTATATCATTAAAATATTTAAGTTATTTTAAAATTTACAAATAATTTAATTTTAAATAAATAAATCATTATAAAATGTAGCCACAATGATTATGATGAATTTTATTTCAATATTCCATTTGCATGTTATTATAAAACATTTAAACACAAGATCAATAACACCTGCAGCAGCAGTGGATGCTTTTAATACAATAAAAACTATTTATTATTTAAAAGACATTTCAGAGGACGAAAGACATGCATGTCTTTTAAAAATAAACCTTCTGGAATACATCCTGAATAGGATTTCAGTGGAAAAACACATCTATAAAGGAATTTTTTTAAAAGATCTTCATGATTATTTTTATAATTAATATTTAAAAATTTTCTTTTTATATATTCCATATTCATTTCCTTTCAACTGCTTTATTCTTCAATTAGAATAAATTACTTGTAATTATTTGTTTCGAAAATATGTATTAATGCCATTTTGTCCCTTATACTAAAAGTTAATAATGAAAAAAAAAATACAAAAAAAGTACACACAATGGTTTCAATTAATATCAACAACAACAACAACAACAAAAAGCCTTTATTTAGGGTCACTGACCCTATACAGGATTCACCAGAGGTATGCATAAGAACAAAGCAGTGAGACAACGGAAATAGCGATATATACAGAGTAAAAAGAGAAAGAAAAAAAAAAAAAAACAAGAAAAGGAAAAAAAAAATAATAATAAGAAAGAGGGAAGCAAGAAATCAACACAAAAAGAGTAGCAGTAAGAAAGTGAGGAGTGAGTATCACTTGGCCTTCTTCTGAGATATGGACTTGTGGAAACCATAAAACGCCGTAGCAATATACTTATTCTGGGTCATATTGTCAATTATTGATGGAAGTGAAGCTTCAATTAATATCATTAATTTATCTTACAAAGCTATTTTTCTAAGTGTTATTTTAGCGAGTTAGATGATTATCTAATCATCTAACTTTAATTCATCACTTCCTTTAATTCAACCGAAAGCTCTGATCCCTTAGGGTGTTGAATTAAAGAGGTTCGACTGTACTTGATGATAAATAGTTTATTAGTGAACAAAAATGATAAACTATATACATTGGTGCCTAGGTCTGAAAAAAATATTTGATATGAAAAAAGAAGAAAAAAATTAACAAATCAGAAAATAAAATTGCGAACAACTATATTGCACAGATAAGACAACATATAAAAATAATTAATTCATTTGAAGGACCTTATTAAAAAATAAATTTCTAGTTTTATATTGACACATGATAATTTGACCATGTTTTGATGTCCTGAACTATAGGCTATCATATAACAAACTGTAATTTGACACTATCGATAATTCGACATTTCCGATAATTCGACCATTGTAAAATTCAAATTCACACAGTTGATTGTTGTTTGAATACAACTTTACCGGTAAAAAGGTATTACAGAGGCGACCGCGGCCACTAAAAATGTACAAAATTTAAGTATAGAGAAATGGGAAAAATTAGTAAATAAAGATACGACCAAAATCAAATTAATTTATATTAAATAGTTTTTATTAGAGAACAAATAATACCAAAAAAAATCCTTTCAGGTGAGAAACTATAGGCAATAGTTAAATTTATATAAGTGTATTTAAATTTTTAAAAATATAAGAAAATTAATCAGAAAAAAGAAGTTGCCAACTATAATGCAGAGGAGATAACTTATAAAAGGAATTAATCTAAAGGAATAATTAAAAATAAATTTCTATTTTTATTCATACATGGGTTCAACTTTATATGTATGCCATCCAAAGTTCGAACACGTGAAATATTTGGCCTTAAGCCTTATTTATAGTCATAGCATAAGCCAATTTTAGTGAAAACTGATGCCTCTTCAGAATGAAGGGAAGGCCGATATCTGAAGAAGCAAAAGATATTTTTGGCACCAATACAATGTGTCCAACATTGGTCCCTGTCAGTATTTGTGCTTCAACTTTACTTGTATGCTATCCAAAGTTCGCACACGTGAAAAAGCCACATAGAGCTGTCCCTGCATAAACACAGGCTCTTGTAGCAAGAGACCCACTCTAGCAAAGGTTTGGCCTTGAGCCTTATTTACAGTCATAGGAAAAGCCAACCTTAGTGGAAACTCTTGCCTCTTCAGAATGAAAGGAATGTTGATATCTGAAGGAGCCAAAGATATTTTGACACCAATACAGTGTGTCTAACATTGGTCAGAATTTGTACTTCGAGAACATAAGAGCACATGCCCTGTATCACCATACGTTTGCCATTGTAAAGACCCTGCTTAGGATTAAAATTTCTCAGAATAATAACAATAGCACAAACCTAGAGTTTAACTGGTGTGGAGGCATTCCTCTGGGAGTAAGGCTATTTTCAGTAGGGAGTTATTTTGCTCCTCTATAATCTTGCACTCCACACTGTTAACACTGAGGAAACACTGACTCGTGTTTGGTAAGCGGTTTCAAGAAAGAATCTATAGGCATTGGTTGAAGATTTTAAATAAATATATTAAGAGTAAAAAAAAAAAAGAAAATTACAAAAATCAGCAAATAAAATTGCAAACAATACTACTATATTGCAGATAAGACAAAATATAAAAGGAATGAATTCATTTAAAGGACCTCATTATAAATACATTTCTAGTTTTATATAAACAATATAACCTCGATAATTTGACCATGTTTTGTTGTCCTGACCTACAGTCTATCACGTAACAAACTGTAATTCGACACTATCGATAATGCGACCATTTTAAAATGGAACAATCGATTGTTGCTTAAATACAACTTCACTGCTAAAAAAGGTATTACAGAGACGACGGCTGCCATTGAAAATGTACAAAATTTATTTATAGAGCAAGGGAAAAATAAAGAGAAGACCAAAATCAAATTAATTGATAATAAATAGATTATTACCAAAAAGAGATAAGAAATTATTACCAAAAAAAAAAAAGATAAGAAAATATTATCTAAAAAAGATAAGAAAATAAATCAGAATATAAATTTACAAACTATATTTCAGTAGAGATGATTCAAAATAGGAATTCATTAAATGACCTCTTTAAAAAGTACATTTTATATTTACGTGGGTTCAACTTTACATGTATGCTCTCCAAAGTTCGCACACTTGAAGAAGCCACATAAAGTTGCCCATGTATAAACACAGGTTCTTGTAGCATAGGTTTGGCCTTGAACTTTATTTATAGTAATAGCAGTTCCAAAATATTTTGGAAATGAAAAAATATATATATATATAAGAAAATAAATTAGAATATAAATTTACAAAATATATCTCAGAGGAGACAAATATATTTGAAAGGAAAAAAGAAAATTGCAAACAACACAACTATATTTCAAATATGACAACATATTAAAGTAATAAATTCATTTAAAAGACATAATTAAAAACTACATTTATATTTTATATATATATAATATAACCTCATTAATTCAACACACGATAATTCGACCATTTTTTATGTCTCGACCTACGGCCTATCATATGACAAACTATAATTTGATACTTTCGATAATTCAAATATTTTGAAATTCAAATTTCAACAGTTGATTTTTGCCTATAAACCCTAATATTAACAACATATTAGACTGCACAGTGCAAAAATGTAGGAAATTGTATTATATAATTGTATTCATATAATAATTGTATGTATAGATCAATGAGTAAAATAAGTAAAAAAAAAGAGAAGTCAAAAAATAAAAATAATTGATAATAGTTTATTTGAAAACAAAGATACAAAAAATATTTTCAGCTGAGAAATTATAGGCATTGGTAAAAAGTGTAAATAAATATATTTGAAATGAAAAAAAAAAATCAAACAACACAACTATATTGCAGATATGACAACATATTAATGGAATATATTCATTTAGAAGACCTCATCAAAAACTACATTTCTAATTTTATATATATGTGGGTTAAACTTGCACATACTCTATCCAAAGTTCGCACATGTTAAAAGCCAATTGAAGCTGTCCATGCGTAAACAAAGGCACTTGTAGAAAAAGACCCACTATAGCAAAGGTTTGGCCTTGAGCCTTATTTATAGTTATAGCAAAAGCCAACCTTAGTGGTACTGAAACCTCTTCAAAATGAAGGGACGGTTGTAATAAACTTACCTGTTTGGTAAGCAATTCAGTACTTTATCATTAATCTCTAATGAGATACCAACAGTTTCAGTTTCAATGGGAAATGCAGGGCTGAGCAGTTAGAGCAGACTATTTCCAGGCCCCCAATAATATTGTTGCGTTGTTGGTTAACAAAGAATAACTTCCGCGGGTACAAAGGATCTTTAGGACTTTATTTAAGCCTAATCGATAAAATAATTACTGAAGAGCGCAAAAATAAAACAACAATAAAGAAAACAGCAGTTACAAACTCACCAACTGCAG